AGCCCCTAGTAGCGTCCTTACTCCTAGTAGCGATGCCAGGAGCCCCTAGTAGCTTCTTGTTACTACTAGTAAGGCACTTGTTACTAGAAGCGATGCACTTGTTCCTAGTAGCGTTCTTGCTCCTAGTAGTAAGGCCAGGAACCCCTAGTAGCGTCGCTCCTAGGGCCAAAGGGTCGTCACACTGCCGATGTTTGCATCTCAGGAGCGCCACACTGATCGCTTGAGGATCCACCGCCGCTTGGCCGGGCTCATGGAGTCCGAGCGGTGAAAAAAGAGCGCGGTAATCGGTTGAGCCTCGAAGCGGAACGAAGGATGCAAAAAGAAAGGCAAATGAAAGCATATCAAAACTGAATGAGTCACGGCTAATAGGCTAATGGTATTGGGAAAGGGTTGGAAGGTGACCAGGGTCGTGTCAAGACTTTGTGTTTTGGCTTTTTCAGTGTTTAGTTTCTCCAGTCAAAGTTCTTGGTTTTGGTTGGTTGTGGGGTTCATCCGAACAGGCCTACCACCGCCAGAACAAAGTTCCGCCAGGTTTGCTTCTGGGATCACTGCGTACGGGGGCTGAGAAGCCTGTGCAGTTCTGCGGATCATGGGAATCGGTTTTGTATGCAGACTACTAGGAGCAAGGTTGCTACTAGGGGCTCCTGGCCTTACTACTAGAAACAAGAAGCTACTAGGAACAAAGGGCATCGCTACTAGGAGCTAGGACCCTACTAGTATGCAGACTACCAGAAGCATTCTTTGCGAAGAAACAAGTCGTTTCTTAGAAGGCTTTCTGGACCTAGGACCCTGACCCTTCTTGTTAGCCTTTGTTAGGTCTTGGGATGGTTCAGCTTGGTTACTTTGACAGTGGGATCAGTGGGATCTACTGATCTATCCTTTACATTCTACATATCTATCATATTTCATGTATATAATTATATAATATATCGCACCAATTTACCTCTTCGTGCATATGGTTGACCGGGCTTTCGTAACCGTGGAACATGATCCGGGCCTGGTTGCATGGGACGTCGCTTGACACGAGCGCATCGCGTTTGCTTCATGCCGCAGCCTGTTTTGAGCCATGGATGTTGTGGCACAGACCTTCAGGGACCGGCGGGGTTGCGTGTTTGTGTTCGCTACTTGGTTGGAGGCCATCGCTAGTAGGTTCCTTTTGCTATTAGGGTCAATGCAGATGATGTTGGATGAGTGGATCAAAGAGCACCCATTCCAAGGAGTCAAGCCTGGCAAAATTAGGGGTGAACTCCAGAGGCCTTTGCACCTGATCCAAACAAAATTGCAGGATGCGTGCCCTACTGGTATGGCAGAGCTCTCTCACTTGCGAGAGGCAGGGGGTGAAGTGTATTTATGTTCGAACAAAAGTATGCATTGGCGAAATAGTAACAAGAAGCTACTAGGGGCTCCTGGCATCGCTACTAGGAGCAAGGACGCTACTAGGGGCTCCTGGCAAACTCATTCATTTGATTTGACGAAGGCACTGGTGCAGATCGCACAGGCCGGGATACCTGAAGTGTTCATTTTCTTTATGCCATTGGTTGCTTCCAAGCACATCAAAGTTGCTTGGATAATGACGCCAATTGATTTCGTCATGCAAGCTTCTTTTGCTTTGCGGTGAATGCATTTATATAACTCTGGGCGAAAAGCTTGGTGAAGATGGATCCGAGGGAGAGAATTCCGAGCCTCCTGAGCATGTGAGCATGCTTTCAATGCTTTCATGAAGAAAAGTGAAACTGTTCATCCGATGGCCTTGTGACCCCTGAGTTGGAGTTTGTGTGGCTTCTCGTTATGAGCCTTTGATGCGGGGGTTGGGATTGAGGAGAAGATTAGCGCAGACGCCATCAACGCTATGCTAGAGGATGCAGCGCAAGGCCTGAGCCACATGGACTGGTCATTGGTGGTCATGGTGCGCGCTTCGGCTTTAACAACTGGGCAAGGTGTTGAATGGACCAATTAGCAACAGCAGAATGCGTAAACCGACAGAAATCACAACTCCTCCCATCCACAGCCGGTCGCAAGTAGAGCCGGCCATGAGAGTTGGCTCTCCGGACTATGCTTTTTAGTGCGAAACATGGTTCGGATGAAACCTTGACCCCACCCGATGGTGACCGCAGACCCGCTCGCACCAGGCGAGAAGTGAGGACCTTAATGTCGTTTTGCCAAGCTATTAGGGTGGAGGCCATCGCTAGTAGGTTAGAGGGCATTCAAGGTGGCATTTTCAGAAGCTATTGGGGTGTTCGGCTCGTGAGCTGTGTCCTCTTTGACATGAACTTTATTGCATTTTTGAGGCAACACCTCTTTGCTGCATGACTAGCAGACAATCACCTGAGGTGTATTGATATTGAGTACTTCCTGAAGTGGCTGTCATCAGACTCCATAGGTGCAGTTCCTGTGCAGGGAAGAAAGCGGAAGTGTCAATCAGTAGCTTGTCTTGCGGGGGATGCTCAATAGGCTGGTCTAAAAAAGAATATATATCAACGAAAACCCTTGACCAAGACGAGCTGCTTGCCCTTATCATCAGAGTATAGCAGTATGCCATGATCGATTCCTGATCCCCAAAACCTTAGCCACAAAGATAGCTGGAAGAGCAACTGAACCTTCTGGATTGTTGGGATTTCTGGATGAAACACTTGGTTCGAGTATGAAATGATTTTTTGGATACAATCTTTTCTAAGACTCAGGATGGATGACAAAGCCTGAGCAAATTTCATCGATTGCGTCCTCAAAAGACTGCAAATTGGTGTCCTGATCACTTCGGCGGCACATCTTTGACACGTCATCAGCACGAGGAGCTTTGAAGGACACCTCCTACCTGGCAGGATTCTGCGGCAGCGGGATGCCTGGATATCGTATTCTTCGTTGCAGCATAGACTATTTTCCTCGATGATTGGGCAGGATTACATTTTTATGAAAACTGCTTTCCTTCTGCACGATCTATTTGTAGGAAGGTTTGGACCATGCCTTTGGATGTTTGAAGCCTTAAGACTCACAGAACACCTCGACTCTTTGCTTCTGTGCTGCGTCCTTTTGATGCGGTGAAGCACCTGTGTTGCAAATACCTTCCACATTTTTTTCTCATGAAGCTAAAAGAAGCTACTAGTAACAAAGGGCATCGCTACTAGGAGCAAGGATGCTACTAGGGGCTCCTGGCCTGGCCGTACTACTAGGAGCAAGTAGCTACTAGTAACAAGAGGACGCTACTAACAACAGAACATTGAGGCACTCAACAACTACCAAATCGCAAAACTAGGTTTGCTTTGAACTACCTCTTACTGCCGAGGTGCGCCGCATGTACACCATATGGAAGTGCCGGCAGAGCCGCGCTTCCCTGGGAGTATTGAGGTGGGCTGACTTGAGAAGTGACAGCAAAATTACATTGAATTCAGAACCGCAGTATTTTTCAAGACTGTCTGAAACAAAGACAGTTGTTTATATCGTGTTCCGTGTTCCTGAACACAGTTCAGTGAAGGTGTTCTGGTGTTTGCACGGATGGCAGCAAACTTGTGAACGGGGAACCTTCGCAAGAAACGGTTTCGCGATATTATTTTGAGAAGGAAAACCATGGCGTTCTTGTTTCACTTTTGATGTCCATAACCAGAGGTAATCAAGATCAAGACCCAAGGCCTACACTTGTTCTTTCCTTTTCCTTATTTCTTCTCAGTTTCTTTTCTTTTTTCCGCTTGTGGTTTCCGATTGTCTTGAGACCTCCTTGCCTTTCTTTTTTTCATTCCTTTCTTTGAGGCGCATTTGATCGATACTGCCTTGTTTGCTTCGTTCGTCCAACCCCGCGATATCGTGTACTCCACTTGCCCTGGTGCTAGTGACTTGGCTCCGCAGGACTTCAGAGAAAAGCATAAAGATGATGCTTCAGCACTGGACTGGGCCACATCTTCATGTCGCATGTTGGGCGACAGAGGGATGTTGGCTTTTGGAACAGAATGCATCCATTTACACTCTCTGGGTGATGCCATGCAGTGCTATGCAGTGCCATGCAGAGGAAAGACATGGAAAGATGAAGAGCCTCTTCGCTTGCCAGGAGCGACTTCGGAACACCGTCAAGGTGTGTGGAAAGTGTGGCAAAGCCTGTGCCGGTCTTGGATATCACAACCCCCAAAGCGATTGTGGCTTGTACCATAAACATGTCAAACAAGAAAGATTTCTCACTTTCCAGACTTTTCTAAATGGGAGCTTTTGCTAATTAGAGTAAGCTTTGTGGTTGGATTTTGCGTTCTTGTACGAAAGGGCAATCAAGTCCAGAGACGCATGGGAGTTTGGAGTTTGGTTCTCAGTGACATCCCCCGTCTCACTCAGGCGCCTTCACTTTAGCATGCCCCTTGGTCTGCACTGGCGACCACGAGCCTTAGTGGGTTGCTGGAGGACTTTTGTGGACAACAAGCTGCCAACAAACACTAAACAAACAATTTACAGCTTGCTCGGCTAACATATAATTCTAAGACGAGTTCAGCCTGCTTCAACCAGGTTGCAATGCATGTGGTGCCAGTTTAGAGGACCAGCTGCAACCTGGGTTGGATTCGCGCAAGAAAGCTGCCATTTTTCGCCTTTTGCCTATATATAGGGCTTTCAGTCTTGGCCTCGTGAAAGGAAACAGAGAATGTCCCGCCACGATTCGTCAATTATCGCAGCTTTACAATGGAGCGGGCGGTTGCGGTTGGAGGAGGTGGAGCAGTCATACAGCGACAACATCTTCATGGGCTTCATCTATGGCATTGCCAAGGTAGGGACAACAAAACGGAAAGTTGTAGGTGACATTGGATATCATGGGTGTGGCTTGGGAGGAACCCCAAACAGGCCTCGTAGAGCTTTCTCGTTCTCGGCTGTACGAGGTTTTGTTTGCACTTTGTGTCAAGTCCTTTGTGTGCCCTTGTTGAAGTCTGCAAGTAAGTCCCAAGATGGCCAGGGCAAGTTTGTATTGTTTCTAATAGCTTCTTGTTACTAGTAGTAAGGCACTTGTTACTACTAGCGTGGCACTTGTTACTACTAGTAAGGCACTTGTTACTACTAGCTTCGCAAGTAAGTCCCAAGATGGCCAGGGCAAGTTTCCATACAAGATCTCTTTGCGAGTCCCGATCTCAGAAACAGGACTGGAGGAAACTCTTGAGGTTTGATGGTCAAGCTGAAGCTTTTTGTGTTTCAAACTTGAGACATTCATGCCTTGTTCAAGCATTGTTTCTGATCACACTTTTCCAAGCACAGACGCAGATGCCCTAGGTGCAGACGCCGGAGTTCCTTTGCTTTGACGATCCATTGCAATGTTCCCCGTGCCATTTAAATGCCTTGACCCAAAGATGCGAGCTGGTTGTGTTGCATAAGGGCATTGCTACTAGGAGCAAAGGACGC